TAATATTCTACTTTTTCTAGAAGAAAAGGCCATCTGTATACAAGTGGTTTCAGTTAGAGATGTTTATGGGAGCAGAAACCCCTCATATCAGTGAAACCTTAACAGGACGTAGTGGTTTGCCTTTTTCTATTATCTAAGCTGTAGTCATGTTCTTTGAATAAGTGGACTAGTTCATACTGCTATCTTTTCATAGGCTCTTAAGTTATTAAAGTGAAGGCTTATTAGCTCTGCCAGATCTGGCAAACAAATATCTAGTAATATTTCAGAAGGCCAAAACACATAGAGGACATCTGGAGAGGGGCTGCGTCAGTTTTTGGCATTTCTTTACTTAGGGCCAACGATCTTTTGAAGTAGAAAATCCTTTTTGTTGTATCTACATTATTCAAAAAAACATAGCGCAGTGTTTATCAGTCTCTTTGTTCATTGCAGATCTGATGTACATCAAATTCACAGTGCAAATCCAGATAAACATCTATTGCAGTCTAATTATCTTCCTACCGCTCTTATGAATGACAATGGCTGAAAAGGAACTTAATCAGAAATGCTGTATGTGATCCCAACAATGATGCCTTGAAGGGAAACAGGAAACACATGCGTCTGCAGACTTCCTGAATTCCTGGGACTTATTCCTTTTTAAAGCTCTCCTCCAGATAATCTCCAACAGTGCTGCATTGCATTACATCTAGTTGCTATACACTGTATCTTCCACAAGATTCAACAAGCTCCTTTTGGCCCTGTCTGCATTAGGAAAATGACCTGTTCCAGCGATGGGTCCCCCTGGAGCATCTTAAACCATGATTGAAAATGGTTTTTCTGGTAATATTGATTGTGTTGAAGAATGGCCCAATTGCTGAAAATGTCATGAAATTGAGCAAAGGGGGTGTTAGACAATCGGGGGGGGGGATGCTAACGCTAAGGCCTATTAGGATGAGAAATATCCTCCCTAAGGAGTTAGATGGAGACAGGCCTATGGATTGTCTAGTCTAATTTTAAATGATTCAGACTACTCAAGAATAAACAGTAAGGAGCTCCTTCTGTGTTTGGAGGTAAGTAAAGACCACTCCAACCAACAGCACATGCTTCAATCTAGTCCCAGGGCTACTCTTAAAATGAGTATAAATTTCATGGGTCTTGAAATCCCTCTTGCAGCAGATGGGCACTACCACCATCCTGCATGGGCTGGTATTTCTCTAATAGGACTCTGGACACTACAAAATTATGTTAACCTAAGTTCTGTCAGCATACAGCCACCGCAATAGTTAAATTGCTTTTGCATGTCCACACTACAGTCCTTGTGTTAGCGGTGCGTGTCCTCACCAGGAGCACTTGTACCGACTGTACTGTCAAGTGTGGGGCATTGGGGGATGGCTTCTGAAAGCCAGTAACAGTTGATGTCTACACTGCGTTGACCTAACGACATCAACATTGACTCTGCCTCTCATGGAGTTGGAGTTATTAAGTTGGCGTAGTGGGGCAGTTATGGTGTCAGGAGCAAAATTTTAGTGTAGACATTTACATAGGTTGATGTAGGCTGCCTTTGTGTCCACCTAACTCTATAGTGCAGACCAGGCCTCTGTCTACCTTCTGACCTGCTGTTGAATTCTTAATTGGCAGGGCAGTGTCCTGAGTTGTGCACTACTTTTAGGGCACATGTCTGCAGCAAAGATGAGAGAATGGGGCACATGCTGTTATGTGCAAAATTATAGTGTTGCAGATGCCAGGGAGACCCCATAGAATCCTTCCTTAGCTCTAGAACACTCTTCGCTCACACACTTTTTATTATTCAGTGTGCTTCTGTGAATAGGACACTTGTCACCCCTCCCTACGGCCGTTTGGTATGTCGTATGGAAAATTGCTCATCACGCTGTGGAAGGCCAGAGAAGAGCAGAACCCTGCAGTTCTGAAGGTGTCGCTTGTAGTGGACCCTATTTCCGCATGCTCCAACCCACTTCAAATCATAAATGAGCTGCCTCTAGGTTAAAAAAAAATGAGTAATTCAATCTGGAGTGAGGGCTTGGTATTTTCCCCCTACATGCCGAACTGTGCTTGACATCGGCACTTTAGCTGGTGTCCCTGGGCCAATGATATACAGCTGCACCACCATGCACCCTGGCAGGGAGATCCCAAACTGAAAACCACTTGGCAATCAAAATAGTACTAACATATAGGGGTAAGAGGAGAGCTCATTTAAGGTATTTGATCTTTAAGCATTTTGGAGGCAGTCCCCTTCTGCCCTACACATACAGCATCTCCTTGCATAGCTGATCTCTGCTTTGTCACCAGCAGCATCTGTAGTAACACATGAGTGTGAAAATATGGCTTATGATCATTTAAATGTCTTTGCTGTGTGAAATGGCTAGCAGGCCGCCCTTTGCATGACACCTTCTATGTATGGGGCCCAACCGTAAAACCTGCAAGGAAATCTTTGTTTTTCTTCTTTAGTGAAACTGAAGTATGACTGATTTCTGCAAAACTCTGAGATTGCTAATAGAGCACTGGGAAGATCATGTGCTTAAAACATCATTTGGGCTTCCAGGCTGCTGCTTTATCCTCTGCCACTTCCTATTTGGAAGATAATTAGAGCTTGAGAACAGGTGCATTTGGAAACACTCATTTTGAGCCAGTGTCTGACTTGCAGGATCTACATCTCTTGGGGGAGGAGGGGACTCAAAGGTACATCAAGTGATGGGGGCGTATGCATACTGTAGGGCAGGCCTGCACAACATGCGGCCTGGGGGCCGCATGCGGCCTGCGTGGGCTCACTGTGCGGCCCGCGGGGGGTGAGTAGGCAAGTGGCGGGTGAGGGAGGGGGGCTGAGGAGGCAAGCGGGCAGGCAGTGGCGGGGGGGTGAGTAGGCAAGCTGGGGGGCTGAGGAGGCGAGTGGGCAGGCAGTGGCGGGGGGGCAGGTGAGCCAGCGGCAGTGAAGGGGGGGGTTGAGGAGGCGGCCGGGCAGGTGAGCCGGCGGCAGTGGCGGGGAGCTGAGTAGGTGAGCCGGGGCGGTGGGGGGGCTGAGGAGGCGAGCGGCGAGTCGCTGGCTGACCTGTTCTACTGGCCTGGCTCCCTTCCCCTCTCCAAGAGTTGCAGCTGTCTGGAGGTGCCTGCCTTCCACGCCTTCCTCATTCACACCTCATTCATTCAACAGGGCAATTGATTACAAAGTGGGGGGAAAATCTTATTCTACTTCTAGCAAAAAGACATTTTTCTTTTACCTTAATTATACTACCTTAGGGGCCAGCTATAACATATTACCAAGGTTCAATACCGCTGTTTCAGCAGGGCGGTGCTGGGGAAGGAGGGCTTTTTTCCCCACGGGGCAGGCGACGCTGGGGGGGGGGTGTTGTTTTGGGGGGGCTGGGCGGCGCTGGGGGGGGGGTTGGGCGGCGCTGGGGGCGGGGTTCGGCGAGGCCGGGGGGGTTCGGCCGTCAGCTGTTTTCTTTGGAGTAATATGGCCCTCGCCGCTTTACGAGTTGTGCAGGCCTGCTGTAGGGACAGGTAGGCTCTGTAGCAATATCATGGACAAACTCTCCACACAAGGCTTATTAGAAAACAAGATGGTTTTCAGTGATGTCATATACAGATGTTGCCACATCAATCATTTAAGCCAGGGGTTCTCAAACTTCATTGCAAAGGGGGTTGTGACACACTTTGGGGTCCTGATCCACAGTTTGAGAACCACTGATTTAAGCCATTATGCACTCTTACCCCTTACATGTCACCACTCTAACGTCCTCAACTCTGTTGGACTAAATAGTTTCTCTTAGAGCCCTGTAGATTTGTGCTGTGATTTTTGGATCCTAAAATGACCTTCCTTCCCACCCCCACTCCGGGACCCTTGATTCAATTAGTAGACAAGTAAATAGTCAACATATTATTCCTAAAATGAACTGAGATGGAAGCATTTCTTCTCTGTGTGTTTGCCTGGATTTAAAAAATAGGAAGCAGAAAGTAGTTGACAGCGAGTGTTAGTTAACTGTTTGTCTTCCTCTCCCTGAAAGCTACCTTTGAGGATAACGGACTGGGTTGGGTGGCAGGAGATCTGACTTCATTTTCTGGCTGTCACAGACTCACTCAATTTCTCTGTGCCTCAGTTCACCCATGTGTAAGATGGAGATAATGCTCCATTTCATACTTCGTCCATCTCGTTTATTTAGATTGGAAGCTTTTCAGTTCAGAGGCTGTCGTGTGTGTACCGTGTCTGGCACAATTTGGCCCTCAAACTTGGATGGGGCCCTCAGCGCTACCATCTATAAATGGTTAATAAGGTGGCAATGTAATCAGCTGGTATATACTGTACTGTATATAAGTGAGGGCACTACCTGTTAATATATGGATGAATCCAGTTCCAACAGGGGTCTGTGCAACTGGAGAATTTTAAAATAAAAATGAAGGCTAACTTTTCCTCAGACATTTAAATGCATTTAACTCCAGAAATATAACCCCTAACAGGGCTGACTAGTGGGACTGGTTCATAGGATTTTAGCGCTTACCCTGAACTAATGCTAATCACGGTGTTGAACATGCATGTGTACTGAAGGCAAATAGTCACGTGCTTTACAGCATAAAAATGACTTTTTATAATGGATCATGGCTCTAGTAACTTTAAGGATAAGTTAAATGAAATACTATAGGCTCTGAAAGCTTTGTAATCAGAAAAGCCTAAGCACAGCTGGTAAAAGAGAGAGCACTATGTTGAAAATGTAATGCTTTGTTCCCACTGTTCCTCTTTCCTGCTCTCTTAGCTTTCTGCTGCAGGAAGAAATGGGTTCTCTAAGCAGGATGGTGGTATCCATTAGGCAATAAGCAGTATTGCCTCTGCAGTACATCTGTGGGAAGGTCCTTTAAAGGTAGAGAATTCACTGGACAGCAGAAGTGTTCACGATTTACTGGCTGGGATGTCCTCAACCCTATAAATCCTGGGAAATAAGTGATATTGCAGTTTTAGCTTGATGCTACGTTGAAATGATTGTGAATAGATTGCTAACTGACTATCTTTCTTTCAGGCTCAGAGAGATCATGCAGAAAGCATGTATTCCACAAGATGAAACAGATTCCCCACTGTCAGTTATCCTGGCTATAGTTGAGTCAGATTCCACAGTAGTCTATTATAAGCTGACAGATGGTTTCATAATGCCAGACCCTCCTGATGATACTGAAGACATGGACAATAAACAGTGGAGAAAGAAAAGAAGGAAGCTTTTGAGATGACTTTAAGACAAAGATGAACTGTTTGTTGGCCCCTTATTTTCAAATCTAAACAAATTCAGTAATTTGTGTATGTAAATTAAAAGGTACAATGGCTTAACTGCTGCTTTGCAAATCTTCACTTGCTCTGGAGAACTCGGATTTCTGCAGCATGCTTCAAAATAAAATGGTATGTAACATGTTTCAAGGACCCGACTTTTATACAAGGCATGTTACGCCTTTCTCCTCCTCCACTTTTTTTTTTTTTTGGGAGAAGCAGAAGTTTTCAAAGTTTGTCCCTTCTTCACAAACACACCTGCATTTGTGGTAATGTAAAGATTGAACAGAGTCAGACCTATGGCATAAGTTTTAAAGGTAAATATTTAAATAAAATAAGCTGTTCTTTAGTGTAGTGTGGTTGGAGTGAAAGTCTTCAAACATACACTTCTGCATAAGTTAAAAAGACAGTGGTTTGTCCTACTCATGGCACCAAGAGCATTTAAAATATAAATTTCACCTTTTGGGCCTCTTACTGCTATATTTAGAGCAAAATAGAGTAGGTTTTGTCCAGCAATATTTTCTTTTGGTTTAAATGTTTTGCAACTGGAAAAATGACCTCACTATAATGACTATGATAATTCCTAAGGCTACTAGAACGAGGCATGGTCCTGTGATTAAAGCCCAAGACAGTGGTTCTCAACCTGCAGCCCATGTGACATGCTCAGGGCCTTACAGATAGTATTGGATGCAGCCCACAACGCTAAATAGGTTGAGAACCATTGGCCCAAGATAAGGTTCAGCGACTCCTGCAATCTAACCATAGTGGCCAGTCACTAAGGTCCAATCTACATAAGCAAATGTACATGTCAGTAGATACTTGGAGGACTAGCTTATTATACAACAAAATTAAACACTGTTTGTTACCCATGTGAATGAAAATGGAAGGGGAAGCAGATTGAAGATCAAGGGTTCAGTAATGTGGTGTTAACTGTGTCCGGCCCTATCTACACAGTCCAAAACCAAACCATTTTATGAGAAATTCAGACACCTCTTGTGTTATAACATGATCTCTCAACACAGTAAATTTTTCTGTGTGAATGGCTCCTTATTTTCTTGCCTCAGTTACCCTATTTTAAATATGGGTTCTATTACCTATTTTTAATTGGCTAATCTTTAGAGTCTTTTGAAGCTGAAGACAATGCCTAGGAGCTACTAATTACACATTTTTTCTATACCCCATAGACTGCTGCAGCTGGTGTGCCAATTCATGCACCAGTCAGCCACTCTCAACACCGTCTGACCATTACCTCCTGGGGGTAGGGACCATGTCCTCCTATGTATTTAAACAAACAGCACCTAGTACAATGGGGCCCCCAATGTGAGTGTAACCCACATCATTTATATCTCCAATGGAGCCTCTATGGGTTAAACTAGTTGCCTGAATGATGTTTCAGCTGGTTATAGGGGAAGGGGAACAAAGGTAAATTGTTGGTGGTACTTCCATGGGAATTTTCCATGCTTTCATTCAGTAGTTTTCTTCAAGTTTAACCTTAACTTGGAATTTTTGGCTTTCTAATGCAAGTTCCATATCTCAGAAATGGCATTTAAAGTACATGTAAAAATTCACCTAGGGTCAAGGCCTACACATGGAAAATTTCAAGCAAAAGGCCTGTTTTTGATAGGTTCAGGAACAGGGGAGGATCCAAATTCAGGCTCAGCATGAAATGATAGTTAAAATCTTTAGTCCCCCCTCAATAGGACAGACTAGAAATCCATGGTGATTTCAGAGTTAAAGATTTTTAGTTTCACTTAGTCAAACAGGCTGGTGGGAAAAGCAGGGGACAATATGTACAGCAGGATGCTAGCCCTGCCTTCACCAAGGTCTTGCTGTGCGACCCTGGGCACCAATTTAGCAAAGCACTTAAACAGTTGCTGAAGCCCCACTGAAGTTAATGGGACTTAGGTGCACTTCAGCACATGATCTGCTGTGTAGGGATAGACTTAAGTACATGCTTAAGTCCTTAATTGAATCAGAGCCTTAAACTGCAACTCCAGTGTGGCACTTCTAAAATGGAGCTACTACTACTTGCCTGTCTATCCAAGGTACCTGTATATTGTACAGTATCAGAGCACCTCACAATCTAATGTAATCCTTGGCTATAATGTGCTAATAAGTGCAAATATTAATTTAATCCTGTCCCTAGTGGTGATATCCATCACTTATGTGCATTCTTTCTACACAGCGTTTTAGGGCCAGATCCTCATAAGGTGGAAATCAATGTAATTCCATTGGTGTCACTGGAGTTACAGCAATTTACAGCAGCTTCCTACAGCACATGAATACCTACTTCTCACACGTTAAGGATTGCTGCTTTGCTATTAACCATTGCCTGTTTTAAACTGAATTAGGAGGATGGGGTACAACAGATGGGCAAGGGCCCTGATCTGTTTGGGTAACTGAACAGAACTCATAGCCAGGCAATGTGTCTGGAAATATGTGCCATTATGTACGTTTTCACACAAACAAAATGGTTGCTTTTTATAAAGTCTCTTCTGACCTCTCCTTATAGAAGAGCTCCTGTGTTTAGTCATGTGGAAATTAAAAGAGAAGAATTTCTATCATTCTAAAGCTTGCTCCGCTCATGAGGAAAAAGCAATCTGTCTCTTTTTGGTCTGATGCCATAATGCATTAAAAGGTAGCTCTATTGATTCCTGATATGCTGAATCTAGCCATGACACCCATATTTTATGAACTCTGCTGTTTAGTCCATAAAGTAAATTCACACTTCATTTGGCTACATACCACCAGCTAAACTGTCCTTGTATAAGCAGTTAAATACTTAAACCCCAGTGTAGGTATGTGCTGGAAAAAAAATTCAGTTTTATGTAAAGAAGTTTGCAACATACTATACAATGCAGAATTTATACTTGTGCTGTATGCTACTAACGCCATAGCAATTTCTCTTGCATTTGCCCTGCTCTCAGGGAAGCACTTGTATTTTGTGGTTTGCTGCAGAACTGATACATTAGCACGGCATTTTTCTTTAGGTAAAAATTATTAAAACAAAGCATAATTCAAACCTACCTTTCTGTATATAGCAAACTACCCCAGCTCCAGAAATTGACTTAGAGCAACAAACTGCATTTCTTTGACCTCAGTACTTAGTACCCCCACCACCAAAAAAATCAAAACCAAAAGATCTTTCATGTCTATTAAAGCACGACTGTAGAGGTCTTTATCCAGACTCTCTATAATAGGGCTTGCTTTTTGCATTTCCGAGTTAACGGATTTGTTTTAAACATCACTGGGCTTTCCATTCTCCATGTAACGGTTAAAGCAGGAGTGGGGAATCTCCAGCCCGTGGTCTGTATCCAGCCTGCTGCTTAATTTCATCCAGCCTGCAGCAAGTCTCCGTGCCACAGACCGGAAGCCCCGAGCCTCGGTGCCCCCCCGCGGGGCTGGAGCTGAGCGTGCTGGGTTATCAGAAGTCGGGTCGGCTCCACGCAGCTCCTAGGAGCAGGGGCAATCAGGGAAGCGCCGCGCGCTGCCCCCGCTCCCGGCACCGGCTCCACAGCTCCCATTGGCCCAGAACGGCGGCCAATAGGAGCTGCGTGCGCAGGCAGCACGCACCGCGCACAGCCCCTTGGCCTCCCTGCCTAGGGGCTGAACATGGTGGCCACTTCTGGGAGCAGCGCGGAGCCCCAGCAGGCAGGGAGCCTGCCTTAGCCCCACTGCACCCCCGAACGGGAGCCATCTGAGGTAGGTGCCGCCCGGCCGGAGCCCACACCCTGAATCCATGCCCCAGGTCGGAACCCTCTCCTGCACCCTAACTCCCTCCCAGACCCCACACACCAACTCCCTGCCCCAGACCTGAGCCCCCTCCCGCACCCAAACTGTCTCCTGGAACCCATACCCCAAACCTCCTCCTGCACCCGCAACCCTGAGCTTGCTCCCGCACTCCAAACCCCTTAGCCCCAGCCTGGAGCCCTCTCCTGCACCCCAAAACCCTATCCCCAGCCCCACACCAGAGCCCACACCCCCAGCCAGAGCCCTCACCTCCTGCACTCCAAACCTCTGCCCCAGCCTGGAGCCCTTTACTGCACCCTGAACCCCACATTTCTGGCCCCACCTCAGAGCCTAGAGGAAGCCCCGAGTCTCCACTCCGGCTTGCCCCACTGTGGGGGGAAGCTCCGAGCTTCCGCACCCGCCTCTGTGGGGGCTTTATGTGGCCTGCGATTGATTTTTTCTATGGCTCAGTGGCCCCTCATAGAAAAAGGGTTCCCCACCTCTGGTTTAAGGTAAACAAAGGGGCATTTAGAAAAAATTAAGTTTAGATCCTTATTTGGCTTAGCGCCATTGAAAGTCTATCTGTATTGATGTCATATGCAGCCCCGTTGCAGACCTGGACCCCATTGGTACTGTACAGATACAGAATGACAAGACTGCCCCTTGAACAACATTGACTGACAGTTGCTGAGAATTGGGCCATTAGTATTTTACGGTCCCAAAACACTGTTTATACATGCTGTATTAAAATATTTCATTACTTGCTTTACTGTAAGTGTTTGAGAGAATATCTACAGTTGCACAAGAAACTCTGAACCTTGAGTGCTAGTCTGGGTGAGCAGCTTTTCAAGTTCACCTTTAATAGGCATCAAGCTAAGTTTTGCAGTCTACACCTTGCTCTCTTAAAGACTAGTTTTATACACTAAGTAGTTTAACCAGCTACTTTTAACATATAGAGATGTTCTGGAGCAAAAGTACACTTTTTCACTAGATTATTGCATCAATTCATGCCTCTCTTCAGAGGGATGTGTGCATTCAGGCCTACTCAAAACTGTGAGATAATGTTACAATGACAAACCTGAGGAAAAACTGTAATTGGATGTCCATTAATGTAAGTATCAATTCTGGTTTATGGAGGGTCCGGTTCTTTCAGGAGTTGTTGGCTTCACCTCCCCAATTGTGTACTTTACATGACTATGTAATGCAGCCGTCTTGTGTACACTAACTTATGCGAAAATGCTATTTGTTTTCTACTATGGCTGTCTAGATTACCATTTATTTAAATATTTTTGGATGTTTTCTACATTTTCAAATATATTGATTTCAGTTATAAC